TCGTCACTCAGAAATAGGTCGCTGCTTGTCGTGCGTGTCGTGTCGCTCGTCAGCATTTCATTTGCAGCATCGACAGGACTGCGACGAGGAACGGTGCCAAACTCAAACCTAAACCCAATCCTAAACAACAGCGATGTATTTCTGTCTTTAGCTTTTGCTTGTCCGCCACATTCTGAATGCCATTGCGCTGCTGGTCGACCGACTGACTGTCAGGCTGTGTTGCTGTGTGCCATAAGTTGAAATATTATAGGCTTATCACGACAAGCTGTCATGCCCCGGGACCGGACTGAACAACAGCAGCAGACGATGGCCTGCGACGAATAAAGCTACATACGCTCATGTCAGCACTACTGGTAGACAAGCAGCGTCATGACGTGCATATGGCCGGGCCGAAGAAGTATGGCGCGTTGTCTGAAGTACGTCACCCTTCTACTAGTCATATTTATCATCCTGTTTATGTACAACATGCCTGTTGTCAATCATCGATCAAAATCAGTCATCGATGATCTGTTAGGTGAAGATCACCAACAAAACACAAAAAAGTTCTGCAGCATTCCATCATTAAACCCGTGGGATCCGTCGGTGATGCCGTACTATGAACGTCTGCCACCTCTACGCTGCAAGCGTTTCCAGCCAGAGCTCACGTACATGACGAGCACCGGTTGGCTGTATATTAACGAAAGCGTAGTGAAAAATGAACAGCTGTCGGCGGTGCTGTGCCGCTACCGATGTTTTGACCGCAGTGAGGGTTTCGACGACAATACTCTGAACTTCACTGACTGGACCGATTTCTCGAACGCGACGTTTGTTCAATGTGGCGAATTCGTCGAAGTTACTTGTAGGAAAAGTATTCTGCCCATTCCCTTCTATACAAACTACCACACGCATGTGCGAGTGCTGAGGAAAAACTTGCCACATAAGAATGAGAATCATTTCTCATCTTCCAGTAATTTTCCTCCCAGCGTATTCTTGTTCATTCTGGATTCAGTATCGCGATCAAACTTC